CCCTCTGGAGAAGGATCCAGCTGGGACCAAAGCCAAACCTGGCCCCACAAGCTGGGCTGTGCCTGGGGCCAGGGGTGCTGTGCCAATCCCACACGGATAGTCCACGGACTCCAGGAGTCACACACGGGATCTGACACAGCAAAACCCCAGACCTGGATCCACCTGAGGTTCTGCCCATGTTTGTGCTCCTGGGCTGAGTTTTGGATCATTTGTCCTTGGTGCCCAGCTGGAGCAGGAATTGTTTTGTGTCCCTGCTCTGTGCACAGAGCTCACCATCCCATCATGTGAAGCCCAGACCCACACACCAAAGCAGCTCAGAATCTCAAAAATAGAAAAGCTCAACCCTGAGGCATCAGAGAGGTTATCCCAGGGATCCAGGCCGTGCCTGGTGATTTATCTGGGAAAACAACAGAAATCAGGAGGGGAAGTTTGGGGAGGGAGGCTCCAACAATTGGGGCTCTGTGAGAAGCAGGCAGCTCGGAGCTGCCTCCCTCCCTCGCTCCCTGACACCAGGCTGGGATGGTTCTGCCTGGAAGTTTGGGAGAAAACAGCTTTGGAAAAGCAAAATTCCAAATCCTCCTCGAGAGCCGTAGATCCACAGCAGAGCTTGGTTTTTCCCACAAACAGAATTAAGGTAGAGCAGGAGGAAAAACCTGCATTTTCCAGGTTTGTTTTCTGGTCCAGCTGAGATTTCATCCTTTTAATTCCACCAGATGGGTGGAAAATGCCAACATTTATCCCTGGGGATCAGTGGTTCAGTGAAAGCACAGGGAATCAGTGAATCCACAGGGAATATTACCCAAATTTCCTGAAATTTCCCCGTTTTTCACCTCTGGAGGTGTTGGGAGATGTGTGACCCTCTGCACTTCGTTCTCCTGCACCTCCCATGGGAATGCTGGAGCTTTTCCCCAAGGATATTTCAGGGAAATTTGCTGGATTTTGGCAAACTGGGGGTGTTTTCTTCCTTCAACATTTTCTCCCCCTGCACCAAATCAAGGTGGGGTTTTTTGGGAGGGGATGTGACATCAGCAGCACATCTCCTGCTGCTTCCAAAATGAAAATGTTTTGGTGGTTTTGTTTCAAAATGGCAAATCTTGTAGGAATAGTTTTGTTAGAACTGGGATTTTCACCAAGAAAGCTATGAAATAAAATATATAGAAAGAAAATAAATAGCCCCAAAAAAAGTAGATAAAGAGAAATATTTTGTTTCATCCCGGACCATCCAGCTCTGACTCTGGAGCAGGGTCAGCCCAAAAATAAAAAATAACAAACACTGGAAAAATGCAATTTTCACTGAACAATTCCACCTAAATTTCAGGGTTTGGTTTGCAGGATAACCAAACCCTGCAGCTGCAGGGCTCTCGAGCAAAATAAGAAAAGGATCTTTTCCAAAAGCAGCATTTTTCCCCCCAAAAGAAAGCACCAGTGCTGTGGGAAACTTTGGATGCTTCAGTGGGACCCCACCCAGGAGCACCCCAAAATTTGGGGCTACCCAACTTTTAGGGGTTTGGGGGATATTTTAGCCCGTGGTGCCACCTGCAGGCAAAGGCCCTGGTTGTCCCCAAAACTGTCCATTTGTCCCCAAAACTGACCATTTGTCCCCAGAGCCCTCAGGGGCATTTCCAGCCCCTCAGAGCTCCCCCCTGCAAGTGGAACAGGGGGTCAAAGCACTTTAAAGCAGTTTTTAATGTGCTTTAAAGCAGTTTGAAAGACTTTTTAAGGTGCCTTAAAGTGGTTTAAAGCAGTTTTTAAACCAGGAGTTTTTAGGAGAAGGGCAAACTCCCCCCCACAAAATGTTTTCCCAAATGGATCCCTCCCCAAAAGAGCCCAGAGCAGCCACAGGGATTGAAAAACTGTAAATTTAATACTGATACAGGAGGGTTTTTCCTTTACACAGCAAAAATTAATCCGTGGAGGTCACTGGGGTAGCAAAAAAAAAACCAAACAAACCCAAAAATAAACAAACAAACAAAAAAAAAGCCAGGAGCCTACCAGGACTTAATAAAAATAGGGAAAATCCAAACACCAGCAGGGACTGGAGCCCTCCTGCCTCAGGGCTCCGCTGGGTTTGCTGTGACTTGATTTTTATTTTTTTTTTTTTTAATCCTAAAAAAATAATTAAAAAAGCTTTGCTCTGGGGGTTGCTGACCCTGATTCACCTCGAGCACCCCAAGGTTTTTGGGGTGGTTTTTTTTTTTTTTTGCTCAGGAGCACCCATGCAGCCCAAGGTGCTTCCTGTTCCCATCTCCCTGGTGCTCACACCCCACTAATCCTGATTTGGGTCTGGCTCAGCTCTCTGGGGAGCTGGAAGGCACTTTGGGGTCTCGGGAGGGATTGGGGTGACCCCAAAATAGGGCTGCACACCAGGGATGCTGCTACTGCTGCTGCTGCTGCTGCTGGCCCTGAGCGGGCTCACCCCGAGCAGAGGCATCACGATACAAACATTTAAAAAAAAAAAAATCAGAAATTGTAAAAAATTTGCTATTGGCACAAGTGGGGGTGAGCTCTACGTACCTCTAGCCGTGGGTGGGGCAGAGCTGCCCCAAATCTACCCTGATCTAGGCTGTCCCCAAGCGTCCCCCTGGTCCTTAAATCCACTGACAGCTCCTTTCTCCCAGCCACGCTGCAGGGAATCCCAAAACCCCGCCAGGCTGGGAAGTGCACGGAGACCAATCCTCCAAAAAGGGGAGAAGAAATGGGATGTGGTCAGCTGGATGGAACATTTGGGATGGATCCCCGTGGGCTCAGCTGGGTTCTGGTGTCCCCCACGCCCTCCCCACGGGATCAGAAGTCCGAGTCGGGCTCCAGCAGCTCGGCGTCCACCAGGTTGGTCCGAGAGTGGATGGGGGCCAGCGCTGCCCGGCCGCCCTGAGTCCTGGCTGCCCCGGGGCGGGGCAGGGAGCCGGGCTGGGGGGGCCACAGGGGGCCCCCGTTGTGGTGCCAGCGCCCGGCGCTGGGGCCGGGGCTCTCGGGGCAGAAGGGGCTGCTGACCACGCGCAGCACGCCGGCCCCGCGCCCGTCCCACGGCGCCCCGGGGAAGGTGGCATCGGGCTGGACGCCCGGCAGGACATCGGGGGCAAAAGCCACCAGGCAGGGCTGGGGGGGCAGGCGGGGCAGGCGAGGGACGCTGCTGGGGATGGCGGAGAGCCCCGGGCAGCGCTCGGGGTCTGGGGTCACCTCCTTCTTCTTCTTCTTCCTCCGCTTCTTCTTGCGGCCGCTGCGCTTCTGCAGCTCCGGCGACACGTCAGCCTCCACCACCCACAGGTTGGCCCTCTCCTCTGGTGGCACTGGGGGACGTGGCGGAGGTGGCTGTGAGTGGCCAAGTCCCACCTGTGCCCCTCATCACACCCCGCCACCCACCTGATCCCACGTGGATCCATCCCAAATATTCCACCAACATGATGGAGTACACCCTCCCTAAACACCCCCACTGCCCCCAGCCCGGCTCACCCCCCAGAAATTCCCCACGAGGTCCCCGAGGACTTGCCAGGTGTTGCCACGGGTGTCACGGAGATGTCCTGGGGCAGGATGGCCCCTCTCCTGGCCACCATCTTGGTGACGTGCTGGGCCCACGCCGAGGACACGTCGGCCGACGGCTCGTTGATGTTGAACGCCAAGCCGGCTGCGGGGACAGGGGGATCCGGTCACAGGGGGGACTTTGGGGACCCCGGGGGGCTGCTGGGGACGTCCCCTGCCCCAGCACGTACCCACGGGGCCATCGTGGGACACGGTGTGCATGCTGAAGGACAGCTCCTGGCCCGGGTCGCGCAGCAGCTCCTTGCGCTTGGAGAAGGCCTTGGCGATCATCTTGCTCTTCTTGATCCTCTTGGGCTGGTCATCGCTCTGCCCCGTCAGCCTGGGGACACGGAGGGCACAGAGGGGACAGGGGGGCACAGCTGTCACAGCTGGGGGCACAGGGACCCTCCCCAGCTCCCCCTCCTGCACATGGGGACACCAGGCTGGGGAACGGGCTCGGGGATGGAGGTGTCCCACAAACACCACGTGGGAGAAGCCACCCCGTTCCCAAGCTGCTGCTGAGGGACAAACATCTGGGAATGTCCTCCAACATCCCATTGGATGGGGCAGGAAGGGCTCCAGGGAGCTGGGGTGGCATCCTTGGGTGACACTCTTGGGAGTCCCACCTGCACCAGGTGCGCTTCCAGATGAGCAGGGTGGCCTTGGTCCAGACCCAGGTGCTCATGGAGACGCCGGTGCCGAACATGGCGAAGAGGTTGATCTTCTCCACCAGGAGGCTCGGCCGGTTCTTGATCTCGCAGTCCGGGATGGGCTTGTTGGTCTGCGTGGCGATGGTCACGTTGGCCTCACACCTGCGGGGACACGCGGGGGGACAGTGGCCATAAGGAGAGGGGACAGCCCACGGCCCCCACAGCTCTGCAGGGTGGAGATGTGGTGGCACCGCTGGTGGGGGACACGGGGCTGGCCGCTGCGGTGCCACCGCGTCCCCGGCACGCCCTGTCCCTGTCCCGCTCACAGGACGTATTCCCGGAAGCTGCGCTCCCACTCGGCCTGGTTGAAGAAGTCATAGAAGTGGCAGCCAAAGGTGATGAAGACGAAGCCGAAGGCCAAGAAGCCAAAAATGCCTGGAAGAGAAGAGGGACATCCAGCCAAACTCCGGTGACACCGAGACAAGGACGCCGCACTGGGGCCATGCCACCACCACCACCACCACCACCGCCACAGCTTTGTCCCCCGCTGCTGCCACCCCTGGGAAGGGGCTGTGTGACTTCAGGGGACAAAACGTCCCCGTTGCCGCCCGGATTCCCTGGGGAACGGCGCCGGTGAAGCCCTCACCCAGGCGCAGCATGGTCTCGTTGATCTTGCTGGCCGCCTTCTCGCTCAGCAGCCCGGGGTGGTTGCTCTTGATGGAGAAGAGCGTCATGACCCCTGCGGGGAGGACGAGGGCGTCAGGGTGTGGGGACAGCCACGGTGACCCCGTCCCTTCCCAGAGCAGAGCCACCACACCTACCCCGGATGAGGAAATAGCCCCCCACGATGAGCACGAGCCCGATGGGGGCCAGCACGAAGCCGGCGCGGTAGCGGTAGTTCTTGTAGCCCACGAAGCAGATGCCACTGACAGAGTCACCGTCCACCTGGCAGCGACGGGGACAGGAGGGTCAGCTGGCTGCGGGTGTCACCCTGAGACCCCACCCCGCGACGGTGGCCCCGTTACCTGCGCCACAGCCAGGATGGCCACGGTGAGCACGAAGGGGATGGACCAGGTGATGAGGTGGAAGTAGGAGGTCTTGCCCAGCAGCGGCTGGTAGGTGGTGCCCAGGGCCTTGAAGGAGGTGTGCCAGGCGTAGGTGAGCATGACAAACCAGATGACGCCCGACATCAGCGAGTAGTACACGATGACGAAGATGATGACACAGGACAGCGTCTCGTTGGAGCTGCGGAGAGGTGAGGCAAGAGCGTCACCCACCCCCGTGAGGGGACACGCAGGAGCACGGGGGTCTCGCCCTCCGTGCTCCCAGGAGGACAGCGGACCCCCAGAGCCCTCCTCGGTGCCGGGGACAGCCCTGGTGGCGGGCTGGGGACGGAGGTGACACCTACGTGGGCTCGCCCAGCCGCATGGTGCCGTCGGCCCGGCACACGATCTCGTCGCGGGCGCCGTCCATGAACTGTGCCAGCCAGCCAATGCTGCCCACGAAGAAGCAGGCGTTGACGTAGAACAGGATGACGGCGGGGTAGCGGTTGGAGTTCCTCCAGTCGGCGACAAACGTGGCCTGGAGGGGTGGGGAAAGCCACAGCTCGGTGCACCGCCCCCCTTTTTGGGGACGGCTCCCCAAAAGGAGCCCGCGTCTCACCAGGGTGAAGAAGGTGCAGAAGATGGTGACGGAGCTGAAGGCGGCGATGTAGACGTGCATCTCGCGGTGCTCCTTCTCGGTGAACAGCGGGTTCTGGCACTGGATGCCGCAGCCCTCCACGTCCTCGTACCAGCTCTTGGGGTTGTCCGTCCTCACCAGCGGCGCCTCGCACTGCCCCGAGCTGTTGAACTTGATGTTCTGCACCTCGTTCTGCCACAGGGGAAACGAGGCCATGAGGAGGAGGAGGAGGAGGAGGAGGAGGAGGAGGAGGAGACACCCCCATGGCCAAGATGGACATCAGTGCCCTGTGGAGGGCAGGGGACAGCTGGGTTCCATAGAATCACCAGGGAATCGTGGAATGGGTTGGGTGGGAAGGGA